ATTCTCTGCCTCAGCAGCCTCCTGGGCAAGTCGCTGCACCTCGGCTTCTTCTTCTGCCAATCTTTGAATCTCTGCCTCAGCAGCCTCCTGGGCAAGTCGCTGCACCTCGGCTCTTTCTTCTGCCAATCTTTGGGCCTCTGCCTCAACAGGCTCCTGGGCAAGTCGCTGTATCTCGGCTTCTCCTTCTGCCAATCTTTAAATCTCTGCCTCAGCAGCCTTCTGGGCAAGTTGCTGTATCTCGGCTTCTTCTTTTGCCAATCTTTGGGCCTCTGCATTAGCAGCCTCTTTTGCAAGTTGCTCTGCTTTCGCTACTTCAGCCGCCTTCTGGGCAAGTCGCTGTACCCCGCCTTCTTCTTCTGCCAATCTTTGGGCCTCTGCCTCAGCAGCCTCCTGGGCAAGTCGCAGTACCTCGGCTTCTTCTTCTGCCATTCTTTGGGCCTCTGCCTAAGCAGACTCTTTTGCAAGTTTCTCTGCTTGAGCTATCTCAGCAGCCTCCTGAGTATATCGCTGTACTTCAATCTCCTCTGCTGCCAACTTCTGTGCTTCTGCCTCAGCAATTTCTATGGCAAGTCGTTGTATTTCGGCGTGCGCTGCTTCCAGCCTTTGCAAGTCCAGTTCCGCGGCCTCATTCTGTGTGTCTACCTTGCTTTCGTGAGCGCTAGGTTGGTTTGTGGGAGCATACGAGAGTGAATTTCCTCGATCATTATCTGCCTTCAGGAAGTATGTGACATAAGTCATCACCACAGCCTCGCCGAGATGTCCTTGTACCTAATCCTCAGCATCGAGAAGAGAGGGGATCTGGAAATCTTTCTCGGCTTTTGCGAATATAGTTTCGAATTGATCGAGTTCTGAAAGCGATTTGTTTGATGTGGTCTTGCTGGTCTGGTGGGCGTCTTGCAAATGTTGCAGCAGACACTGGAACAGCTCTGAGGACACGTCGGCTTTGAAGTTCCTGTTTGTGTAGATTTGTATTGCTATGTTACTCAGTATATGGATAGAAGTGACCGTATGCAGAGTCGGAAGAAGAGACCATATTCACAAAAGCTCCTCGCCATTATAGTAGTATAGTATTGCCTCCAACACGTACTACAACGACATGGCTTACAAAATATAATAATGGGGCAAAGTGCACTTAATTACCTGATAGGTTGACTACCGCGATGCTCGAGAATTGCATTACATCGCTTCAACAATTTCTCCTTGTCAGTACCCTTGCTTTTAGTTTCCTCCTCGTGGAAGTTACCAGCGATATGATAATGTCTGATCAAAGTCCAGACTAAACCGAGTGTCAGTTTCTCCGACTGCGCAACCAAATCTGTAGGAAAATAAAATAAGAAAATGTATTGAAAAATCTATATGTACGAGTCACTGCACACCCATTTAATCATATCAGACATACACATGTGCTTCCGCATTACACCAGATGTTGATATCATTGCCAATGAAGGTAACATTGATACCACAAATATTATCACAAACATTGCCACTCATGCAGAAAGCTACAGCAATGCTTCAGCACTGCCACACATCGCTATCTGTACACATGCTCGACTTGTGTGCGTCGAAGTGAATGAGAAATGGGATATCTCACCTTCAGCGCTGATGTTTACGAGACAAATATTGTCCTTATTCTCGAGCTGATCAAGCACAGAGTTCAACGACGCAATAACATGGATCTTAGACCCAATCTTGTTCCCACTGACGACGTTGAACAACTTTTGTCCTCCTTTGAGCTCTTCTACCAAATGTGGTAGCTGGTAGAAGGGTGCAAAATAATAATTCAATATGCTTAGTGTGTGTTCTTACAGGCCGACGTTTTTTTCCTCAATATATCATAATATATAATAATACTAATAATAATCATAATAAAAATAACATTATACATGTAAATATATATA